GCAACCACAGTAAAGAATCTCGTAAGATTCAAAGTGGTTTGATAAAATAGCATTTTCTACTACACCTTTTGAAATCCAAGCCATTGAATTTTTTCGATTTTTCTTCATGATTAATTGGAATATTAACGGTATAGCCAATTGTTGGAGCCACAGTTTGACTCATAACATGACTTAGTATTTTAGCCACGGTTGTTAGCCCTTGAGTTATAGCAAAGCCCACAGCCTGATTTTCAATAGGCCAATTTAGATCACATCTATGTTGGTCGATTCAATTGGCATTTCTGAAAATCAAAGGAAAAAATTAGTTTTTAAAAGTTAACAGTATAAGAAACCAATTTTTTCTTAGAATCTATTTTAAATTTGTTGGAATTTAGTGTAGTGGACGAAACCGAATTCATTCATACCGTATATGCACTTTACATGTTCAATTTATGCATACCGTATATGCAAATATCGCATTTACGCATACCGTATTTACAGCTTACCATATATGCAGCATATCATATTTTCACAACATACCGTATATGCCGTCTATCGTATATGCACACATTATCTTTAGATATTGTATTTCCATATACCGATTTTGCACTGGCTAAAATTGTAGAACACCATATATTTACTTACCAAATCGAATCTCAAAAGAAATTTTCAGATTTTTATTATTATTTTTTTCAATATAAGCAAAAAATAAATTTTAAAATACATGAAGCACGCGTATGACTATGTAAGTCGAACAAATAAGATAAAATTTAGGAAATGAATCTTCAATCCGAAACCTGCGCGAGCACAATTTCCTTAAAAAAATTCGTCCCCTTACCGTAAGTGTTTGAGATTTAATTCGAGCGTCTGTTTTCCAATATACAACGATAAAATCATTAAGATCTGAGCACCACAGATACTATTTCGACGAACTGATTAGTATCCAAACAATATCACCACCAAGACAATGCTGACAGAAAAATTATATATACAAACAGACTGAATGATATTGTGATGCGGACTAATTTTGCTATATGCAGTATTTTCGCGTGCTTTTTTGGTGTGTAAGAATTATTAGAAATGAGACTTAATATAAGATAAATCTGTCATTAATTCTATGGCAATAAACATTAGAGTTCAATTGCTGCTGGAGTTTTAGTAGTTTCAGAAACTCAAAAGTCAGTTGGAGAAAGAAAAAAAATTGCAAAACGTGAACACTCCAAATGAGCTAATTTTTGCTCTATTCGATCCGACATTCGTGTACGCAGATCGCGCTCACACACAAGTTCAAGATCCGAAGGCTATTTCGATCCATAATTTTCACCCCCTACGCGCGTGCACATGGAGAGAGACTCTATTTTATACATAATTATATCTTTCCAAAGTGTAGCCATATATAAAGTAGTTCATACTTTCTTCTTTTTCCTATGTGGGATAAATCTAATTTTTCAACATAAACCATCTTCCAATAATCAATTTTGAGCTCCAATTTCTTATTCATTCATTCATCAATTTTGACAAGTAAATATATGGTTTTGATACTTTCATGGAGGAGAACATAGATCAACTTTGATCTTCCAAATTGGACCAATAGATCCCACCAAAAATTGTGCCAAAATTAAGTCATTTACTCATTTTTTTCCAGCAAAACATATACATAACCCATAGTAACGCCCCTCATGGAAGGACACAAACCAATACGACAATATTGAATATATTTTTTCTTTAAACTTTGCTTCCATGATATCGGTAATACAACATTACCTAATCAAATCCATGCTATATTCCCATAATTTTTTTGACAATTCTGTGTCTGCAGCCTTTGAGCTTGGCGCGGCCAAGTTATTGTCTGAAAAATATTCACCACTTTTCCCCTTCACTTGTGGATGCAATGCCACATAACAGCTAGTTGATGCCCCCTTTAGACCAAATTTAGACAAGAAATGTTAGAAACCCATTTTTTTTTTCCCTCTAAATGTCATCAGTTTAATATGTTTTCTTTCATGACAAATTCCAATTCAAAAAAGACTGTTGAATAATTTTATTATTATTATTATTATTTTTTTTGGGCTGATTTTTCCTTTCTCGAGTTCTCGCTTCTTTAATTAGTACTAGACTCGAAAATCTTATTGTCAAATATTAATACTACTTTTAGAGAACTTAAGAATAGCATAAATCTTCAAGCTGTACTTTCGAAATGCATAGCCTGACTGGGAATATACCTGTGGAATGTTTTTTAACACAAATTTACCAACTGTACTTATAACACCTGCACCAAACAAGAAAGTAGAAACCGAGTTAGAAATGATATGCACCACGCATAGACGAAGATGTTTAGCCTTCTCCCACTATATCATGAATCAAGTATATAGGGCTACAAATGTTGATGTAAGTCAGGAAATTTGTACCGGAGACTACGAACTTGTGCCTTCTCAAGAAAGTTTCTTCCAAGTTCAAGGTACTTATGAAAACCCGTGTAATCACATGAATTTAAGATACTTATATAAGTAATTTTGTTGAAACCTTAATATATATCTAACAGACTGGAAAATGATCTTTTTCACCATTAGCATAAAAGCTCACTTTTTATTTGTCTCCGAAAACAATTGATTCCAATAGAACCCAAACTCCAAACACGCAACTAGAAGTTAGTTGATAACATGTTATTGAGGCATTAAGTCAAATCGTATAAATATACCTTCGAAAACACCCAAGTTACCTTCAAAAACACCAAGGTTACGGAAAAGATTGGTTGTGATTGTTCCAGGATGAAGTGAATTTGCAGTTATTTCTTCTCCGTCTTCCTGTTCAAGGATGACATTCAACTTTCACAAGTTCAAAATGTAGTGATGACAGAGACAGCGTAGATTGTCACTTCCAAAAAATCAAATGAATCTTTTACAGAGGAATTTAAAGTATGTTTTTATAAACAGTTAAAATTATAAATATATAAAAATGAGTGGTGGACAAGTGAATAGTACTTGTGAATTTATCGTAATGTGTGGATAAAAAAGTGACCAAGTGTTTATAAACAGTTCATTAACATAAGCAAGACATAGGCTTATATAAAATAAGTAATTTCAATGACTAGAATATACAGTATAGCAGTTTCGAAATGAGATTGGATGTGAGTTTGTGTTTGTGTTTCTTTTCTTTTTTTCTTTTTTTAGGATCGAGGGAAGGGAAAAGAGGGAAGAGACGTGTGCCTATGAAATAAAAGTAATATAAGAAATTGTTACCCTTACTTTACTCACTCCAAAAACCTCATCGAACCTCCTCAATTTTATATAGTTAGACTTTATGGTATTCAAATGAGAGCAACAAAAAAATAAATTAAGAAAAAGGAAAAAACCTCAGCATCTTTCGCAGGTCAATATAGTACTGTTTAGCCTCTAAGAGAAATGAAATGAAGTAAGATAATGAAACTTTTCAGTAAGAAATAGTTTCCCGAATCAAAAACTGAAGTCCTATTAGAATACTTATACTATTAACCGAAAGCAGAGCTCATAGAGAAAGAGTTATATATGAAGGCATCAGATATCTAACCTAGCCACCCCAAGAAGGGTATTGAGTTAAGTTCATTACAATTATAAATGTAGTTTCTCATTATCT